TTATCAAATTTTTTGCTAATTGTATATAATTTTTGTCATCGTTTGTTGTTGTTTGTCTCACATAATTATTCATGATTATTTTTGGCAAATATTTAAGTCCGCGCGCTTTGTGGCCTCTGACTCTGAACTCTTGTTGGCTCTAGAAATTCTTTTATGTGGCTGGCAACTCTGGCGCTTACCTCACCCGCTTTATTTGGCTCGTTTCGCTATTACTAAATAAATATGTTTTGCGAAGAGACAAGAATCGTGCCGGGTAGCCAATTGGCGCCGCCTTCTCTGCTGCCACACCCTTTCTCTTGTCGCATTCGCGTTTTGTTTATGAGTCCTTGACACGCACAGGCAGTTCCTTGAGCCTTTCCGCTTCTCGATTTCCTTATAGCAAATCGGGTTAAGCCTGCTGAAGGCTTTATTTAACGTATTTTGACATAGGCATTCGTGCAAATAGTCAAAAGTAATAAAACAAAGAACTTTGTACTTTGAATAGAATGAATGGAAATGGTTTCTTTAGATAGGAGAAACCGAGCTAAAATCTCAGGCTAGATTTATGTTAGACGACGGAAACGTCGTAAAAACCTTCATTAATCTTATATTTATAAAAATATTAAAATTGTAAAAGTAAAAATAATAGAATCAAGCTCGGGATAGATAACTAGAAAGGGAGAATCTGTCTGAGAGAGAGTGAGAGAAAAAAGTGAGAGAGAGCGGAAGTGAGAGAGATAGAGATAGAGAGAAAAAGTGATAGAGATAGAGATAGATACAGATATAGATAGATAGATAGATAGAGAGAGAGAAACATAGTTTGTCAGGGAGAGAGAGTTATGTGTCAGAAAGCGAGAGAGAGCTAGAAAGTGTCTCAGCGAGAGAGAGCTGGAGAGTATGTCAGAGAGAGAGAGAGAGACAGTGGAAGTGTAGAACAGAGAGAAAGAGAGAGTGACACAGTGTAAGATAGATAGAATGTAAGTCAGAGAGAGGGCGAAAGAGAATGTGTCAGAGAGGGAGAGAATATGTCTGAAAGAGCAAGAGAGAAAGGGAGGCAGTGTCTTAAAGAGCGAGCCAGAGTAAGTCAGAGAAAGAGAGGGAATATATTAGAAAGAGAGAGAACTAGGGAAATAGACAGATTGACAGTGGAAGAGAGGGAGAAAGAGAAAGAGTGAGCGAGATAGTGTGAGTATGGGAGAAAGAGCAAAATTACATTTCACACTAAAAAAACATTTTTTTTCTAAAGTTCTGACACTATTAAAGAATTGGGGCAAGAGAAAAATGCATAGAGGCAGATAGAGAGATTTTGGAAATGATTTAGAAAGCGTGTTTGTTTGATTCTCTGCCAGCTACACACGACATGTGTGTGTGTGTGCATGTGTGTGTTTGTGTGTGTGTTTGTATGTGTGTGCATGTTTGCACAAACGAAGGCATGTCAACACCTCCCACCGAGCAACACCCACATAAATAAATTTGCGAGAACGCGAATTTTCTTTTATTTTCCTATTTTTTTATCGCGTTTTTCGTTTTTTTGCCAAGTTGTGAGCACACGTCAATGCCCTTGGGTCATTGGATTTTCGCGCTGTTGATGCATTTGTAAAAAAAACAATTTGTGGCTGCATTTGCATTTTTTCAGTGTTTTTTTTTTTTAGCTGCGTGACGAAATGTAAACAATTTCACCTGGCAAAGTCAGCAAAAAACAAAGAAAACCTGCAACTGAGATAAGCTGATCGAAGAGATATTCGCCTTATGAAAATGAAAATTTCTCCCGCGCGATTAGAATTCAATTTGCCTGCAATTCAAGTTGCTTAACTGTGGCAATCTCTGATGATTGGCAATTAATTTGCTAATTGCTGATTAAAGTGAAAGTCGCGTCTGAACAATTTCCATTTCTGCAAATTGCTAATCAATTTTATGTGCAGTCTTTAAGGCTTCCAGCTATCCAGCCGAGAGCTTAAATACAACTTCGAGCTATTATGATGATCGAGCGTTTCACTCGCCACTTGCCGCTGCATCTCGCCCCGCCCTGCCACGCCCCCTTTTGGCTTTAAGTGTGCAAATCATGGCACAAGGCGTGGGGTTGTTGCCTGATAATGTCCACCTGCAGCCCGTCCCCTCCCCGTTCGTCGATCCAAAACCCGAATAGACTAGGCAGTTGTGCAATCCGCAAAAGATTACGAGTTTTCGATAGCTGCAAAGTGCGTAGATGATGTCCCACCACGCACCAAACAGGCAGAGCATCTAATGCACTGGCCGCAATCATTTGCGAGATTTCCAAGGAAGTGTCGCACAGTGGGCTGAAAGCAAAGAGCTTATGTTGAAATTAAAGAAACTAACGAAATATTTTTTTAAATTGAAAAGAACCTAAATGTTGGCGATTAAATCAGTTTTAGGCGTACAAAAACAAAGCTTAGTTGAGTGGTATCGATTATCGTTATCGATTGTAGATATCGATTGTGTAAATTGATTATTGATATCAATTGCTGTTATCGATTTCAGTTAACGATGGCGTTTATTGGCTGTAATTATCCATTGTTTTTATCGTTTGCAGTTTTAATGCTGTTATCGATTGTGGGTATCGATTTTGCATATTCATTCATGTTATCTATTGCTGTTATCGAGTTCAGTTATCGAAGGGATTTTAAACGGCTGTAGTTATCGGTTGTTGTTATTGGTTGCACTTGTAATTGCTGCTATCGATTGTAGTTATCCATCATGTGTATCGATTCTTGTTATCGAGAGCTGCTATTAACTGCAGTTATCGGTTGCAGTTTTCAATTGTTGTTATTGATTCCAGTTTTCAATTGTTATCATCATTACGGTTAACAATTTGCAATTGGTTATCGATGGCAGCTATGCAATTATGTTATCGATTACAGCTACCAATTTATGTTATCGATTGCTTTTGTTTAATAGAGCTAACTGCAAGACTTGGTTTAAAAGATTCCCAAACATTTACTTAGGTTTGCATTGTGCAGTTTTTTCTGGAAATTTGAAATGCATTTCTAATGAATCTTTGTTCCCTGATGTATTTGTTCCATATAAATTGTTTCGATATCATGAGAAATAGATATCATTTTTAAAACTTATCCCAACTCTTACATCTTGAAAATTAATGTATATTTTCTAGCTTGGATATAAGTATAATTAAAGTTTCAATTAGTTTGTTTCACTTTGCACATAATTTCTTTAACTTTCGCACCACTGTGCGCCTGTTGCTCGATCGTTTTGTTGCGCTCGAGTTGCTGCGATTTGTTGCTGCTGCTGTTGCAGTTGTTGTTGTGGGCTTGGCTCGCTGCAAGCTGGCAGCTGGCAGCTGGAGAGGCACAAGTTCAGTCAACCAGTTTCAGTTTGGCTGCCAACAAGTTCGGTTTGTGTTTTGGACCTGGTCCTGTTCCATGTGCGTCGTCGTCGTCGTCGTCGTCGTCGTCGTGTATTGCGTAGTGAATACTACGCGTGCTGGTTGCCAATTTGAGTGCGTCTGATTATTATTGCCAACCTCAAGCTCAATCGCATCCACCTGCTGCTGCGTTTGGGCGAAAGTAATCGACGTATTTACAATTCAATTAACCCAGCCACAAGCCGCTTAGTTGTGCCGCAGCCTCGCAACGAGTCGGTTGCACTCAAAACTGTTTCTGATTATCTTAGTCTTTTATTTATCTCGGGTAAGTTCTGGCCATATTTCCTGCCCAAGCCCCACACAAAATTATTATAACAAAGCAAGTTCGCCCAGTGCTTGGTTCTATCCAAAACAAACGCGTGTCAAGTTTAGGTTTCTGCCCACCAGTTTGTCATACAAATACAGTTCGAATTTCGACTAAACTATACCCTGTATGCTGCTTTCTTAAGTGTTTTATTTAGTTTAAAAACGTATAGCTTAATTCTTCTAGTAAATTCAAGTGCAGCCTGTGAAACAAATTACACCCAACGTGTTTTTCTTCCTAATTAAACTAACAGTTTCTCACCCATTTTTCACTCTTGTTGGTGGATTATCAAAAGTTCCTCGCTACGCTTTAACCTTTATATAGAGCTTTGCAAATGATTTAAACTTAAAATGTTGCACCCCGTTTTCACCCGTGTTTGTGGATAGTCACCGAAAACCATATTTCACCCTTGTTTGTGGATTTTCGAAAAGTCCATCGTAGTTCTTGAATCTTTATATAGAGCTTTGATTTGTTAATTTTAAATTAAAATTTTTCAACCTGTTTTCACCCTTTTTTGTGGATTTTCGAAATTTCATTGTAATGTCAAGACGGATGTATATTAAAGTTTTTTAAACAACTTTAATGATAATTTTATACCAAAAGCGTAATTTATAAAAAAAATCGGAGTAATGAGTCTTCAATAAATCTTGACTTATGATACGTAAGAGGTCTATTCTAGTATAGATTTTAAAAAATTGTTTAAGTTAACGTCGATCTCATGATAATCACCAAGGTTTAAAAATTTTAAGTTTTCACCCGTATTTCACGCTTGTGGGTGGAATTGTTAAAAATCCATCTTGCTGAGCAACTGCTTTATTCAATTGTAGGGTTGAGGTTAACTCTATTAATATACACCTTAACCATATCATCTATAAACCCAAATACCCCTTGCATCCAACTAACAGACTATAGGGTATAACAGCTTTTATTCTATGAGGCGTCGCCTGGACTGCATTTAAAGCCCATTTTTGCTGCAATTGCAAAAAATGCTGTCTCCCACACGTTCACAGTTTCACATTACACACACTCACACATTTTCCCCTTGTGTTCCACTCTAGCGCTTAGTGGAAAAGTTTTTTGCTTTATTTTGTTTTTTCGGCTTGGTAAACAAATAAAAGTTTCACTTTGCCTTGGCGTTGGCCGCGCCAAGGGAAAGGGAAAGGTATGCATTGAGCCAAAAGGGCTGCAAATCCGCAAAGAAATCCACGAGTTGTCCACAAACCGAATCCGAATCAAAGTGTGCCAATTATCAAGCTTGGCTTTCTCTGACTATAATTTTGTGCGCACTATTTAATTTGATTTTTTTTCTTGTTGCAGATCTATTGGCTGCTTGGGAGGATCTGCTTAACTGGAGCCAGAATGCGGCGAGCGCACGCAAGCTGCAGCAGGAGATGAGCGCATTGAAGCACACGCTGCGCCGCCTGGGCGATCCGTCCACGCCGGAGCTGCTCGACACAGAGCCGGCCATACAGGTAGCCGTCGAGGCCTTAAAGGTTAGTTACGTCCAATTAGCATGCAGCAGCTGACCATAACCAAAAATAATTCCAGCACGAGCAGACACAGCTGAGCAGCTATCGCACCAACATGCTGCGCCTGAACGCCTCGGTGCACAGCTGGCTGACGCGTCAGGAGCGGCGTCTGCAGCAGGAGCAGCTGCAGCAGCAGCTGCAACAGGAGTCCGAACAACTTCAACAGAAGAAAGATAAAGAGCAGGAGCAGCAGCAGCAAGCAGAGCTGAAGCCTGCTGCCGGCGGCGTGGTGGCCATCACTGTAACAGACAGCAATGGCAACCAGGTGGTGGAAGCCTCCACGGGCACCTGCGATGTGTCCAGCCTGATGAGCGCCGAGCAGGAGTTCCACAAGCATCTCAAGGATGAGGTCAGCGACATGTACAGCGCCTGGGACGAGGCAGATGCCAGGTAAATGAATCAATCAATGTTCCTCAACCATTCACTAATTTCATGCTCCCATTCGCAGAATCAATTCGCAGCTGGAGATGCTCACAAATTCGTTGATTGCCTGGCGCCAGCTCGAGTGCGGGTTGAGCGAGTTTCACCTGGCCTTGGGCCAGGATCGCGGCACACTCAAGGGCTTGGAGGGCGCCCTGGACAAGGGACAGGCGACGCCTGTCGAGCTGGCACAGAACGTCAAGCTGGTGGCCAAGCTGCTCTCGGAGAAGGTGAACGTTAGCCAGGAGCAGCTGCTCGCCGTGCAGCAGCATCTCGATCCCAACCACATTTATCACATTGCCAAGTTTACCGCATCGAACGGTTCGCTCTCCGATTCGGGCATCTCGGACGGCGGCGCCACCTCCGATGGCGGCCTGTCCGAGCGTGAACGACGCCTGGGCGTGCTGCGTCGCCTGGCCAAGCAGCTGGAGCTGGCTCTGGCGCCCGGCAGCGCCGCCATGCGCTCCATAGCAGCGCGCATGGAGAGTGCCGAAGCGGAGCTGAAGCAGCTGCAGAACACCTGCCGCGATTTGATTGTGCGCACCGCTGCCTCGCACCAGCAGAAGCAGCAGCAGCAGGAGAAGCAAAAGGAGCAGCAAAAGGAGCAGAAGGAGCAGCTGGCCAATGGCCATGCCAAGCAGCTCGCTGGCAAATCGCAAACGCAGTCGCCCAAGCGCAGAAACGCGCGCAAAACGCGCCAAACCGCCGCCGCCGAGGAGCAGCAGCCGGAGCAGCGGGCTACGCTGCGCAAGGAGCAGGAGCAGCAGGTGGTTGAGCAGCTGCAGCGCATTGTCGCCGCCGGCGGCGGTGGGGGAGATGACGATCCGCCCGAAGAGCCAGCCGCCGCACTGCTGGACAGCTCTGAGGATGAGGATGCGGACGGCGGCGGCTCCAAGAAGCGTCGCGGCTGGGCGTGGCGCATCGCACGGGCGGCGGTGCCCATGCAGCTGGCGCTGTTCACGTTCTTCTGCGCCGCCTGCATGATGCAGCCCAATTGCTGCGACAATCTCAACAATCTGTCCATGAGTTTTACGCCTCAGCTGCGCTATATACGCGGCCCGCCTCCGATTTGAGCGGCGCGTGCTGTGCGTTTTTCGCCGCGAGCGAAACGCGCGCACGTTTTTATGTAGGCAACAAAAATAATTTACTTAAGACGAGTATCGTTAAGCAATCTAACAGCCAGTTAGGTGCCAGCGCAGGCGACAAGCAGCAGCCTGAGATTCGGGCGACCTCAAAGTGGAACCCAGCAATGAGGCGACCACGGCGCGTTTCAGACGCGTTTCGCGCGCGCTTCGAACGCGTTTTGCGTTAAAATACGCTCGCGCGCTCGCGTCTTGCAGCAGTTACAATTTTTTTTCGTGTGTGTTTTTTGTCTTTTACAAAACGGAGGCACTTAGTTTTTTTTATGTTTAAATGTGCGAAACGGCATGCTTAAGATAAATCCCCACATAGATTTTGATTTGATTTGATGGATTGTTTCGTGTTTATCTTAAGAGTTTGATTGCGGTTCTTACAAACATATATTTTTTACGAGGAAGCGTTTAAAATTAAGTGCAAAAAACACAAGTTTAAGCTCAACTTTAGCAAGTACAGGATGTCTAAGGGAGGAAAAGAGAGCGGAAGATCAGGAGTTCATGACACAAACATGGATAAGAAAAAAAAAGGAAAACAAAAATTTGTATCGTACTTAGAGCAGGATATTGGGAAGCACGCAACTTCGCCCACATATCGAGCAACACATTTATAAGGCATGACAAACTCCAGTTATTAGAAATACGATTAACAATACATTTCGCTTAATTTTGGAAACTTTTCTGTTTGAAAAACACGTAAAGTGCCTACAAAGACCCAACACAATGGATGTGGGCCCACAGCGACAGCGAAACGTTTAAGAAAGAGGGATAGAGAGAGAGAGAGTGAAAGGTGAGTGCATATCGAATCGTTTAAGAAAGAGAAGAAGAGAGAGATGTGAGAGAGTCGAGTGCATATCGAAACGTTTAAGAAAGAGAAGAGAGGCGAGAGTCGAGTGCATATCGAAACGTTTAAGAAAGAGAAGAAGAAAAAGGTGAGAGAGTCGAGTGCATATCGAGCAAAAGGCAACATAGCAAAACAGAAGCTAAGCCAAACTAAATACAAAAGCAACGGCGGAAGTGCTTTCTATTGGCGCGCGCCAAAACCAGTTGAGAATTAGAGTTTCTATTTTTATATGCAATGCAATTTATATGAACACAAGAACAGTTTTTGTCCACCTTACGCTCTATTTAATATTCAGTTTTATGTCTATTATATTAATAGGATAAATTCGAAAGTTTGCAAACAATTATCTAAACTAGAATTGAGAAAAGAGAAATGGAACAGAGATCAGTTTAATTTGTACGTGTATCTAAGGCTATCTAACAGCTAAACTATGTTTAGGTTGTACTTCTTATTTGGCAACAACAATTAAATTATAATCTATTTATAAGTTTCGTAATCTTGTGAGTTTTTCCAATTTTGAATGCAAAAAAAAAAACTACAAAAACTACACAAAAAAAAACCTATATGAAAAACAAAATATAAAAGAATTAAAGAGCAGAAAATAAATGATTTGTTTAACTTTTGAAATAAAATGTAAGTTGATCTAAACTGGACCTGATCTGCATGTGTATCATCATTTTCATTTAAAGTTTAACTTTCATTTCAATTCATTTCACTTAAAATAAAATAAAAATTATTTGTATAAGATTATCTGTCATGCCTGGACTTAGCTTATAGCTATTTCTATCCCTACAAATCTAAAGTTTTGATTTTAAAATTGGAATATCTCGAAAAAAATGGTCACATTTTTAAATTATGTTTGCAGATTCTGAAATGGAAATTTCTTCATTCAAATCTTGCAAAAGAAATATAATTTCAAGTCTAAGAAGTTTCCATTGAGAGCAACTTTATTAAAATATACAAAAGATATCCTTACACTTAAGTTTAGATAATAGATTACCTTTTGTACATTATTCCTTATTGGCATTGAAATCCTTGCTCTCGACAATCGAATCGGAGGACAGATCGGCCACCAGCTGATGGTAGACACCTTCGGGAACGACGGTGCCGACAATTTTCTTGTTCTCGTCGGTCTTGACGCGTATCATTTGGATCTTGCGGCCGTCCTTCTCGATGATCAGCGCGATCCGATCCCAAATGGGCAGCATTAGGCCGGACAGCACGTGGTAGGTGCGCACGCGCAGCCCCACCCCGCACTTGATGCCGAAGGGACAGCGGCGATTCCAATAGATGTGCGAGCACATGCGCAGGCACTGATTGTACTGCATGTCCCAGAATTGCTGCACTGCCTCCGGCGAGGCCTTCACATACCGATTCCCAATCGAGCTGAGCGTCTCGGTGCGCACCTGTGGCCCCGTATTGGGTCGATAGATCTTCATGTTCAGCTTGCTGGGATCGGTTGCCGCAGCTGTGTCCGGCTGCGCATTCAGGCAGAGAATGGCGCAATTGTTATTGTTGCGCTCCTGCTTGAACGTGTAGAAACCCTCGTGCTCCTGGCGCGCCTCCTTGTTGTACCTGAAAGGGAGTGGAAGAGGGAGTTGGCAGCGAGATTCAATAAATGTGGTTCACGAACTTTAAGTTGGGAAATGGTTCACACCGAATGCTGAACCGAAATGAATAGGTTTAATTTAAACTAGGAATATGATGGACATGAATTGAAACTTGGTTTAATACATGTGGAAAATCTGATTAATGAACGGAACCCGAACTTGAACCAAAACTGATTTTAATGAATGCGGTTCACGAACTTGTAGACGATAAATAGTTCAAACCGAACTCTGAACTCAAATAGGTTTATTTTCAACTAGGAATATGATGGACTTGACCCAAAACCTAGTTTATTTAATGTGGAAAACCTGATTAATGAACCAAGCCGACTAATTGGTTCATGAAGCGAACCGACCAATTGCTTGCAGCCCTGGTTTGAACCGTCGAACCAGGTCATTTACTTACTTGGCCAGGGCCAGCTCGTAGGACATGCCGCGGACCACCTGCATCGTATGCAGCTCGGTGGCAGCTGTGCCCGTGGCATGTTTTCTGATGAATCGTATCAGCTTGATGGCCGTGACATTCGCGCCGTGTGCGTCCAGGTCCAGAATGCCCAGATCAAAGTGACCGGAGCGCTTCATCTGCAGGATCAGCGAGTACATCTTGTTGAGGAAGAACTTGAAGAGGGCGTTCTGCACCTCGACGCGACAGCCGAGAATGCGATTGAGGAACTTGGGTATATTGTTGCTGTCCTTCTCGATGACGAAGATCTGGTGGCCCTTGTTGTCCTCGGAGACACTGAGCATGCCGACGCCGGAGAGCGCCACACAGCAGTCGAAACTGAAGTCGCCCTTGTAGGACTCGGGTATGTGGATGGTCTCCAGCGGCTTCTCGCCGGTAATTTGCTGCAGCACGCTCTCCAACGCGCTGCGTCCGATGTTGTTGTCGATGTTGAACTTGGACAGATCCCGTGCGTCGGTGGCCCGACGATCGCCCTGGGTGAGCGCGCCCAGGCTCTCCAAGCGCTTGGCCACCGTCGCCGCAAAGCGACTCTCGCCGCCCAGATCGGAGATAAGGAACACATACTCCGGCGCGTTGGCCTGATTGGAACGATGCGTGCGTCCGAATTGCTGTATGGCCCGATCCGCGCTCCACGGCAGCTCCAGGGTGATGTGCAGCCGCCGGCGCTGTATGCTGAGGCGTCTGTCGCTCTGCAGCGAGATGCCGCTGGATGCGGCCTCCGAGATGATGGCCACATGTTTGCTGTCCTCCATGAAGCGCTGCTTCTCCATGTAGTTGACCAGATCCATGGTCGTTTCCGCCTCGCCGCGCTGCTCGTACTTGTAGGTGTTCTCGTCCGTCTTGATGACACGGCCGCGCCGGCCGGTCATCTCGGCGACCACCTTGGTGCCCAGCTTGGAGATGATCTTGTCCAGCGTGTTGGGCGGCATGCGTCGGCCCAGATGCTCGATCTTGTCCAGCAGCTTCTCGCGCACCGTTATGCAGCGCTCCACGTCGCGTTCGGTGATCTTGGCCGTTTGCGGCTTGGCGGAATCGAAATTGGGATCCTCCTCCTCGTGCTTGGCGTTCATGTTGTTGCACAGATGCTGCAGGATGCGATCCTGCATGGTGATCTTCTCCACTGCGCAAAGATTTACCTGATGAGCTGTTTGATCTGCTGGCTAGGAGAAACACACGGAGCTTACCCTTGTCCGGCTTGGGCGGACGACCGCGTCGCTTGCGTCCCGACTTCAGGCGGTCCTCATCGTCGTCCGCATCGGCATTCCAGCTGTTGTCGCACAGATCAATGTCGCTGTCGCCACCATCCGCGTCCATGTCGTCGTCGGACCACTCGGAGATCATGCGCGGACGCTTCGCGCAGCCGGACTTGGAGCGCGCCTCCGGCTCGAAGGTGCCCGTGTTGAGCAGCTTGTAGAGGGACTCGCGCGTCGGCGCCGGAAAATATTTCTCCACAAAGGATTGGATTATCATTTTCGAGGTGGACACAAAATTGGTCAGCTCACCCTGATACAGCTCCAGGTGCTCCAGTGTGCGCGACTCCCCGGTCGACTGCAGGCCGATGACCACGGCCTTGCCCTGGCGGGCCGCCTCGCGCACCATCTTGACCACATGGTTGACCTTGGAGGCAATGCACAGGTTCTTGAAGAAGCGCTGATGCGCCGACCAGAACTGGCACGTGATGATCTTCTGGACCCGGTTCTCGATGCACATCAGCCGACAGGCCTTGAGGAACTTCTCGTTGATCTCGGCCCACAGCTCGGCGGAGTGATTGTAGAGCTTGTGAAAGTCCCGCGACATGGGCACCTCCTCGATCCGAAAGCTGACATCCTTGAAGCTCAGCTGGCGGGCAATATACGAGCCGCGCAGCTTCATGTCCATGGCCACGATCTCCATGGCGCCAATGCCGCGCTTCTCCACCGTATTCACAAACTTGAAGAACTCTGAGTAGGAGGTGCCGGGACCCCACAGTCCCAGCCGCACCATATACGCCATGTTCCTTGGCTCCGAGGCGCCCGTCGCCGAGGCGTACACAACCCGGGCCATGGGCAACAGCTGCTGCAGCTCGAGAACTGTGGTGCCCGTCTTGGTGGACTTGCCGGCATTCATCAGACTGAGATTCTTCGCCTTGTGGCACTCGTCGAGCACAATGACCCCATCGAAATCTGTGCCCAGCCAGTTGATCAGCTGCCGTAGACGCGTATTGTACTTGGGATTGGCATTGGCGGACTCGCCAATGAGCGCTGTGTAGGTGCAGAAGATGACGCCGCGCTTGAAGTACTCGTTCTCCTCGGAGCTGATCCGGCTGTACTTGAACTTGCTCATCGAGGCCACCTTGAGGTGCTTGCTGGCGCCTATGTCCAGCAGATCGCGCTCCGCATCGAACTTCAGATCGTTCGAAACGGATATCCACAGCGCACGCTTGCGTCCGCGCAGATAGTTCTCGAAGATGATGGCCGCCACGGTGCGGCCCTTGCCGACGCCGGCGCCATCTCCGAGCAGGAAGCCGGCACGCTGGCCGCTGGGCAGCAGCTGCTCGTGCGCCTGGCACGCATAGGTGACCGCCTCCAGCTGCAGCGCGCTGAGGCGATCCGAGTTCTTCACCTTGTCCGGCAACGCTAGCTCGTACGTGATGTCCGGCAGCTCGACGGAGGACAAGGTGGCCGTCTCGACGACCGGATCGGGATGCCGG